TGCTATATAATTCTATGATTCTATATTAATCCTGGAAGAGAAATAAACCAACACTTTTACTTCAATACACGTGTACGAATACACTGTGCACAAAGGAACTAAATATTTTACCCAGAACTAAGGGACCATTTCTACTGGTATATTTACAACAACAACAAAATTACATTTATAGAGTGCATTTCAAGTCGGGAGGACATCCCAAAGCGCTGAACAGTCAGCTGTCGGTGCTTGAGCATGTGGTGTAGAGATGAGGGAAGCAGAGAGGTGGGAGGGCGACCAAAAGCATGGTAGAAGAGAAGGGTCTTGAGACCGGCCTTGAAGGAGGCAAGGGAGGAAGCGAGGCGAAGGGACCGTGGGATGGAGTTCCAGAGTGTGGGGGCAGAGAGGCTGAAAGCCCGTCCACCGATGGTAGGGCGGGTCAGGCGGGAGACGTGGAGCAGACCGGAGCCCGCTGAACAGAGGGAGTGGGCAGGTTGTTAGGAAGTCAGCAGGTCAGAGAGGTAGGAGGGGGCAAGGCCATGGATAGCCTTAAAGGTGAGGACGAGGATCTTGAATTCAATCCTTCGGGAGATGGGGAGCCAGTGGAGTCGGGCGAGGGTGGGAGTGATGGGATCACGGAGCCTGGTGGGTGAAAGTACATGTGCTGCAGAGTTTTGGATGATCTGCAGTTTGTGAAGGGAAGAGTTGGGAAGACCGATGAGGAGGGAGTTCCCGTAATCGAGCCTTGATATGACGAATGCATGGGTGAGGCTTTCAGCAGCCTGAGGGGTTACAACACAGAAACAGGCCTAACATGTTTGTGTTGGTGTTTATACTTCACACAAGCCTCCATCCCTCTTGTTCCTCTCGCCCCTATCCCTCCATTGCCTTGACGAATGCGTGGGTGAGGGTTTCGGCAACCTGAGGAGTGAGGCTGTGGCGGAGTCTGGCAATGTTGCGGAGTGTCGGTCATGGCGCGGATGTGGGGAGAAAGGACAGTTCAGGGCCAAACAAGATACCCAGGTTCCTGACTAGCTTAGTGAGGTTGAGTGTGCAGCCGTGGAGGCTGATGCTGCGCTAGCGTCTGAGGTGCGGAAGCGCTGGCGCGAGCCAATCAGGGGGGCTTCAGTCTTGCTGATGTTGAGTTGGAGAAAGTTGTCCCTCATCCAGGATTTGATGTCAGACAGGTAGTTGGTCAGGAAGTCAGTAGTCCTGGAGTTCAGGGTGGAACCAGAGGTAGAGTTGGGTGTCATCCGCATACATGTGGGAATTTACCCCATGTCTGCAGATGACGTCACCAAGGGGGAGCATGTAGAGGGTGAAGAGAAAGGGACCGAGGACAGAGCCCTGAGGAACACCCCACGAGGCACAGGGGCTGGAGGAGAAGCCGTTTGCCACGACAAAGTGGAGGCGGTGTGAAAGGTAGGACCTGAACCAGTCAAGGACAGAACCTTGAAGGTTGAGGTGGGAGGAGAGGCGGTGGAGGAGGATTGAGTGGTCTCAATATTTAGTTTATTCAGATTCAAATGATTTAAAAACTACTAAGAATGTTTGTCAGAAAAAAGAAAGATGTATATATTTATTTTATCTGTTTAATCACTGCCAAGGGATATTCTCTTTGGCCTCTCCGCATGGATTTATATAAAGGAAGATATTTCTACAACATAGCAACAAATTAGAGTTAAGAAACTTAACTCCATAAATGAGATGCCAAATATTGTGCATTTGTCATGCATTTTCCATCAAAAATGCTCTCACTCTCTCTTATTAGGTTGTACTAACTTATCAAGACATTTGAAAGTTGAATATTTCCCACATTTTCAGTTTTATTTCCTACACAGTTTGAGAATGTTTGCTGTTTCTGTCACCAAATTCCTAAACTGGTTTAACATTTCTTGCAGCTGTGAAAATGCATTTCCTCTCAGCAACAAGCTGGATTTTTCTGGAACAAAAACCTTCTTTCCAGTCTGGAGAAACTGCATAGTGCAGTTCATATTCCCTATTCATTACCCTTGAACTTGTTTTTCCCATTGGAGAGGGTCATTTTCCTCAAGGTTGTTCCAGTGCTCATGACTTTGCCCTTGTTACAACCCGATTCCAATGAATGGATAATGTAACAGATTGTGAAATATATGCCAATTTAACATTCTTTAAAATATATAATAAATAATCCTTTCATTTGATATAGCGCCTTATCACATCAGCAAAATATATCAAAGCACTTCACAGGATATACTGTAGAATGTGGTGACTGCATTTTTGTAGGTGAACAATTGCATAATGTCCACAAAATTGAGTGACCAATTTTATTTGGGGGATTGTTTGCCAGGACATCGGGAGCATCTCCCTTCTCGTGTGATTGGATCTTTAACATCCACCTGAACAGGCAGATGGACATAGGCAGCAGGTGTCTAGGGCTGGAGAAACCCCCACCTCTCTAAAGCTCACTTCTTTAAGTGACACCATGATACCTGAGGGCCCCTCCTTCCACTCTCAACTCGTCGACAGTGCCCGCCCACTTCCAGTCAGCGGCCTGTTCGTCAGGGCATTCGCACCTCTGATTGACTGCTGGACCTGTCAGTCAAGCCAATGGCTCGCCTGCCTTAAAGGGGACCAACCCTTTAACGGAGTTTTCTCAGCCCCCACAAAGAATATTTTCAAATATTTCAATATTTTCGATGCAGATGCTTGGTTTAACATCTCATCGGAAGTACAAGATGTCCAACAATGCAACATATCCTAAATTATATGAGCTCAAAGTCCCGACATGGAGCTTGAACCCACATCCTGGCACTACATTTTTGACTGAGTAATACGTGCTCTGCCTTCCTCTATTTGCATCCAGAGTTCAGTTTTCTAAATGACCTTGCTCCTGGTCTGGCCTCTTGCTAGGGTACAGTTCCATAGACGCTCTATAGGCCACTCATCTGGAGAGGGTGTCGAAGGCAGGTCTGACCTTTCCTCACCTGGTTACCACACATGTGCACAACCAGGAGAGGATGGTGCTATAGAGGGACCATGAGTAGCAATGTTTTTTTATTGTGTTTGCTTTCAAGTGAGTGATGACGTTTTGCATGCTGTTCTGGTTTCTCATTTCATATTATTCAAACTGCATTTGCAAATCAGTGATACAAAAGTGAAAAAAAGGCCAGCAGTATTTAATATTTGTTATTTTCTATCCTGAAATTTCATGAAAAAGGTTTTACGATGTTTTCTCTTTGATGAATTATATTTGCATTCCTAAAACTGACAACAAATTTTAACACTGAATTTATGATTCCACAATTTAGTTGATAGTGGGACAAATGTTCAGTGTATTTCAACATAACAAACTAATGTGTTAAATTAGAAATGACCATTTAGCTCATTGAGCCTCCTCGTCAATTTCCATTAGTTTTCATTATCATGTGCTCTTTCTACGTATTTCATCCTCGTTTCCTTACAAATGCACAGTCACTACATTTCACAAAATCCCCAAATTACAAGATTGGACTAGATGAAGAAGGTTCTTTAGCCCATCCAATCTCATCCCTGCAGAACACCTTACTGTCCCCACCCCATCATAGCATCAAACTGCTTTTTAAGTGAATCCAGTGTTCTGGATTCTACCTTTCTTGCAACTTGTTCCAGTCATTGATTACCTTCTGAATAAAGAAAAGCTTCCTGCGATCTGTCTGGAAATTGCACTTTAGAACCAGTGATGTAGTAGTAAATTTTATAGTGCCAGAGCCCTGCAGTTTTCTCTTTTGCTCCTACCCCCAATCAACCCGCCCAACACTCACATTGGACAATCTGCCTGCCCATCAACCCATCCTGTGCTCTCATTAAACCATCTACCTGTCTCTTTTAAACCACATCACACTTGTGTTTGTGAAATGATGTTGCTGTGGTCATTTAAGTTAACCTTATTCAAACCCTTTTATAATTTTAAACACTTCTATAAGGTCTCCCCTTAAACGTCCCCTTCTCTGTCTAGTGTATCCTTATAGCAGTAACCTGCCAGCCCAGGTAACATCTTTGTAAAGCTATGTTATGCTTCTTCCATTGCTGCTGTATCCTTCTTTGCTGGAGAGTCCATAACCAGGGGCACAAATATAAGATTGTGACTAGGGGATCTAAAAGAGAATATAGAAGGAACTACTTCATGTAGAGTGGTGAGATTGTAGAACTCGCTGTCTGAAATGGTGGTTGAATCGCATAGTGCAGATGCATTCAAGAGGAAACTAGACCTTCACATGAGGAAAGGGGAATAGAAGAGTACGGGAAGGAGTAAGGAATGGGCGAAGACTTGTGTTGAGTATAAACACAGTCATGGACTGGCTGAGCCGAGGGGCCCGTTTCTGTGCTGTACATTCTTCGTAAATCTAGGCGCTATCTCAAATACAAACATAATTAGATATAAACATACTTGAAAGATACAAAGGCATATAGGTACAACCACCAAGAAGAAAGCAATTTTATTAACTATAAGCTAAAAAGCCACTGAATTCCCGATGAAACAAAAGCATGGAGTGGTATCTGTGAAGCGCTTTGAGACGTTGAGAAGAAGTGAAAAACGCTATATCAAATGCAAGGATTATTATTATCTACCACTGAGATTTATTTATTAATTTCTGACAGGTTCCACAAGTGATGTTCCCATGCTCCCAGCATGACAAAGGGAATCATGTGGGTTCTGATTATTTGTGAATATAAATATCTCCAGAGAGTGGGCAGTCTGATTCAGTTACTGACAATGAGACCTCAGGGTCAAAACATTGTGCGTCACAAGTTTGTATCCATATTTACATATGCTGCGTTGTGTTTTCATGGAGCTTTGGAATTTATAGCCTGTTGAGTGGAATGAAAAATGTTGGGAACGAACATTAATTCTGGTGTGAAGTATATTTAAATCTCTTACAATACCTGGAATCCAGTAACTGTATCAATGTTTCTTAGTAAGAAAAGAGTCGTTCGAAACAATGTGTTCCACTGCAATTGATAATATGAGATTGTTACATCTCTTCTCTCCTATCTCAAAGGGTCTAATAGGTCCTCAAGGAATAAGGGGTGAAGAAGGTGCACCAGGGAAAGGCTTTCCAGGTCTAAAGGTAAAGATGCAGCGACTTGAAAATAATAACTTTGAGCTCCTGTAATAACTTTGATTAATTGGTCAAGTGGAGTGCTACACTGAAAGTAGGGCAATCCCATTATTACGTGCCTTTCTAAAGGGCAAGCTTGCTTAAAATATGGGTGGCCTGTGGACCCGTGGTTATTGTAAATGTGGTACCCTTTGGACTTTTGGCATGGACCAGCTGACTTTCTACACATGCACACAGCCAGCAAGTCAACAGCAACTTTTCTTGCAAGCGTTTCCAGTGGTGGAACTTCACCTCATCAGGCTGCAAAATAAAGGACAGACAGCATAGCTCACCAAAAAAATCATTGTCCAGTAAATTTATTTTAAAAAACTTTCTGTAAAACAGGACATCACATGTATAAAAAATTGTTCCATTTACAAACTAAATATAGTTGATGTGAAAGGATACATCGTCCTAATTAGAAATCCAGAAGTTTCAAATAATAAATCTGTTGTTGACTTGGAAAAGAAAATTCTTCTGGATTGTATACTCGGCCACGATGTGTGGGCCGTCAAACCAATCCTTCTGTTCTTCTCTGCCTATTTCTTCTTGAAATCTGTGATCATATTTCATAATTAGTTCTGTGTTTCCTAGTAAGAGGAGGATTGTTCAAAAGCAATGTATTCCACTCCAACTGATAATATGAGATGTGAAATTCTTTAATCTAGGATGATTTTTAATCTATACATAAAAGTTATTAAACATACTTGGCCTGATTTGGATTACTCTAGTGGATAGGATAGTCTGATTGACAAACCATAGGATTTTTTTAGAATGTAAGAAATTTACATCACGGAGGAAAGCCATTCGGCCAACCATCTCTGTGCCGGCTCTTTGAAAGAATATTGATTGTGTGAACAGGACACGGCTCGTACTACAGCTTTTTACATTGTTTCACAGCTAGGTTGTAAGTTAGATCTGTTTAACGTATAAGGAACACTAGGGTATGTAATGTGCTAAGTGCTAAAAATAGCAATCCTTTAGTTATTTGCTTATAATGGGGTTGCCCATTTTAAACAAGTAACAAAGAGCTCACTAGATCAGCATGTGATAGACCACAGGATGGAACAACTTCCACTTCTTCATTAATTCACTTAACGTGTTTAGTAACTTTGCACATTGTTTTCCTGTTGTAGGGCGACCGAGGCTTCCCTGGGGTGAAAGGACCTCGAGGACCCTCTGGAATTGGGTTTAAAGGTGACGAGGTGGGAATAATTCATTCTTTAATACTTAAACTTTTTTTCACTTGTTATCTCATATAAGGTCTCTAAGTGCTTTAATAAACAAAGCACATAGTATGCAGCACTTTCGGTCACCTCTCCCTGGCCCTGTGCCAGAGATGGCAGAGTTTTCCACTTGCTCCAGTCCAGGGGAAAGAGAGCTCAGCGGCTGTGTTAGTCTTTATACTCCCTAGGCTCTCCCTCCCCTCCCCCGTACAATCCAGGGCTCCTTTGGAGCGATTGTGTTTCCTAACAAACCCCACATAAGCAGCCCACACACTGCTGGTTCCAAAGTCTATTATAATATCATCCTCTAAGATCTTTGAATAGTTCCTAAACTGTGCTGCTGTTCAATAGTTGAAAAAAACAACTGGAGTTTATATAGTGCCCTCCAGGCTGGACAGCGTCTCAGATCACTTAACAATGGTGGAACCCGAGGCCGAGCCGGGGGAGGGGGAAGATAACCGTAGACGCGGTCGAAGAGGAAGGTCTTCAGGCACGATCTGAAGAAGGGGAAGGAGGGGGTGAGATGAACGTGTTGAGGGAGGGAGTTCCAAAGTTTCGGGGCATAGTGGCTGAAGGCACAGCTGCCGATGGTGGAGCGGAGGATTCGGGGGTCATTGGAGGAGGCCGGACCCAGTAGAGCAGAGGCAGCGGGTACTGCTGTGGGGAGAGAGGAGGTTAGAGAGATAGGGACCTGCCAAGGAATGGAGGGATTTAAACACTAGAGTGAGGATCTTGAAGTCGATCCGCTCTGTAACAGGGAGCCAGTGGAGTTTGGCAAGGACGGAGTAATCGGGGTACGAAGTTTGGTGCGGGTGAGAATATGAGTGGTGGAGTTTTGAATTAGATGAATTTTGTGAATAGTGGAGGAGGGGAGACCGGCGTTAAAGTAGTCCAGCCGAGAGGTGACAAAGGCATGGACAAGGGTATTGGCAACTTTTGGGGTGGAGACGGGCAATGTGGTGGAGGTGGAAGAGGTGCTTGTCAGGGACTGGATGTGGGGGAGGAAGGATAACTAGGGATTGAACCTGATGTCTAAGTTACGCATGGGTTTGGAGAGTTTTAAGGACAAGTCGGGTTAGGTTGAGGAGGTCGGAATCGTGGGATAGAAGATGTCAACAGGAGAAAGAGTATGGCTCCTGTTCTTGTTGATGTTTAGCTGCAGGAAATTTGTGCTCATCCAGCTCCTTGATGTCCGATAATCAAACTGACAGAACATCAGGGGACTGGGGGTCGCAGTTGGAGGTGGAAAAGTAGAATTGAGTGTCATCTGCATACTTGTGGAAGTTAATCCCGTATCTGTGGATGACATCACCGAGAGGAAGCATATAGATGAGAAACAGAAGGGGGCCAAGGATAGATCCTCGGGATACCCCGCAAGTGGCCAGGTGGAAGCACGAAGAAAAGCCATTTGCAGAAAGGTAGTACTGGCGGTTTGTAAGGTAGGACTCGAGCCAAGCAAGTGCAGTAGATGTTGGAGGACAGGCGATGGAGGAGGATGGCTCGATCGACTGTGTCGAATATGGTGGAGAGGTCCAGGAGAACAAGGAGGTAGAGGGAGCCCTGGTCACAGATAGAGAAGATATCGTTTGTGACTTTCACAAGCGCTATCTCTGTACTGTTGTCAGGGCGGAAACCGGACTGGAGGGGTTTGAATAGGGTGTGGAGGGAGAGGTGTGCGCAAAGTTGGTTGGCAACAATGGTTCCAGAGCTTTGGCAAGGAAAACATTTGCCCAAATACAGATGTTTTATAATACTATACTTTTAAATTGTATACTCTGAGGAAATGGAATTCATCCCATATAGATCTGAAAGAATACTTAAGGATGAGGATGTAATGTAATTCTATTCCATTCTGTAATGTAAAATGTAATTATTCCATGTGCTTTATCAATAAAAAAACACTCATGACTATCACTTGTCATCTCCCAGTGACAAATCCCTCACACTGAGTGAATGGTGCTGAGTAGCCCAGAGTTCAACAATAAATCGTTACATGGAGCAGAGAAAATCCAAATGATTTGGGGGATAAAATGGAGATTAAATATTCCTCCAAGTTCAGAAACAGAAAAATATTGTAAATAAAATGATTTTAAGCATTTTACATTCCATCTTTTTCAGGGAGGTTCTGGTCCTCCAGGAAGCCCAGGACCTAGGGGTGAGAACGGATTTGGTATTCAAGGAGAAAAGGTAAAACAGAACCAACTAACTGCTTTGTCATTCACATTACCTTTGTTTTGGTTTGATCTGCGCCAGTATCCCAATGCACTCTCTGGGGTTCTGTTGCCTCTTGCCAATCTGCACCTAACCTGTGGGGCCTCCAAGCATTGGTTCTTACCAAGCTGCTCCTAAACTCTCCAGAATTAGGTAAGCAGGGTGCACTACTGTCCATGTCAAGCAAAGGAAATTTCCATACATACGTGGAACTCTCACTAGGTTTCTCTGTGTGCCAGACACCTGGCTGACCCCCAAAAATAGTTTAATCAGCCATATAGGGCAAAGGGTGAGCATAGCACTGATTGAAAAGGCAAAGGATACCATGGGCAGTCGGATCAGGAAGCTGTGAAACTTGACTTTAAGCGGTTCAGTTTAGAGTTTTTGTGAAAAGGCAGATATCTTTAATTCACCAAGGAATCCAATTTTGTATTGATTGAAAAACATCCAAGTGTTTGCCTCCAACAGTGATAATGGCTTAGAGATATCCATGATTTGGTGAACTGGGACCAAATGAAGTTCAGCCAGTCAAAATCAATTAGAGTCTACAGAAAGAACCTAAACATCAAACTTGCGGACCCACTTCACATTGTGTTGTCTGGAGAAAATGCAAGGAAATATGCACCATAGAAATTGATTAACGAGCAAGAGTTCCATTGGCAGGCAGACAGCTTCTCCTATGACTATTTCCATTGAATGGACATTATTTGCTGGCTGGTTAGTGTATGTTTTGACAGATGTTTAATTTCCATCACAAAGTAGCATTATTAGATTGATAGAGTTGCCGCTACAGTAGTCATTACCAGTGCTGTATAGGAGCTGGTCAGAAAGCTTTGCAACAGTTCCTGATGCTGAGTGGCTCATCTTTTCCCCCATTGAGGAATTAGGGTAACCCTTTCTCAGTATTATTATCATACGATGGAAACATGTTCCGTGGCTGAATAAAAATGTGTTTGGTTAATGTTGCCAGATTTTTATCAGCAGATGCTCAGGAATATTACATTAATCATCAAATTGGACAAAATTATCTCTTATTAAATCAGAAAACATTTCTCATCAGTTTCACATTTGTCAAGGTTTTGAGTGAAAGTATAGACAATAAATCCTAATAGATTTCTTTGGAAGGAAGTTACCTGAATCAGTGAGGTAAGGTTAATCTCAAAATCATTGGTAATCCTGAAAAATTCAGTTTATTCCATGAATGGGGTTTAACAAACAGTGAAATACTGACTTGTGTCCATTCACATGTTGAAGCATGTACACCATGTTACCATGTCCAGTGTATAATCCCACATACAGGCAGACCTCTGGTATAGCTCAGGTTCACTTTACAATGTGGTCACACCATGGGCCCACAGTATACCGGAAGTTTGGAAGTTCAACACACAAGAGATTATGTCAGCATCATTTCCCACTCATATGCAGCTCAAGAGAAATGACATCAGCAGCATTTCCTGCATCCAGTGAACATGCAAACTGTGTTGGAAGTGACGTCAGCAGCAACCTAATGACTGAATATTGCTGACCGGTGGCCATTTTGATAGCAAGCCTCCATTAAAACGTGGTCTTCTGATATGGGGGAGGTGGGGATTGACCTGTAATTATCCATATCTGTAATTATTAGATTTTAGAATGTATTCACAAACGCTTTATTCCCTTTTTATTTTTATTCCTGAAAAATGGTGGGTTCAGTGGCCCAAGATTAAAGGCTATGATTCTCTAAAGCATTTTTAAAGAGTCACATGTTTATCTCATAGGGCAGCCAAGGTTCTATGGGACCAGTTGGTCGAAGAGGACCAAGATCATCTGGTATTCCTGGTCCAAAGGTAAAAACTCAATTATGTTCTGACATTCAATGGACTAGATCATCTGGAGTGCCAGAAGCACAAATGAATTATACATGGATAACAGTATAAACCTCCGTAATCCAGATGCTCAGATCCGTGTAATAAAGGTGTTACCGAGAAGTAAAATAATATTGATTAAAAAAGCCAGGAAAGTTACAGCAGTGTAATATATATGATATTTTTTAAAGCAAGATCATCTTTACTCATTGACAATTTTTCTTCCTCACTTCCCAGAACCTGGGTTCGCCAAGAAAACACACAGTCACTACACATTACAGTATATCCTGTGAAGCTTTTTGAAACCTGCTCCCAATATGAAAGGCGTTATATCAAATGCAAGGATTATTATTATTGTTAGTAGTAGTATTAGCATTATTCCCCTTCCCACTGCCCTTTACTTTCTCCTTCTGGCCTTGGAGAAAACTAGCCTCTCACTCCCTCTCAAACGCCCTTGAGGCTTCTGAACTCCTTCTCCTCTGATCCTCAACCTGAACACATCTATTGAGAGGCTTAATAACTCCCTCCGCTTCACCCTCCTCACCTCCTTTTCTCCCGACATGAAAGGCGCTATACAAATGTAATTTATTGTTGTTGTTGTTCTCCCCCCTCCACCTCCCTTCCACCCTCCTATACACAACCTCTCCTCCCTGTATCCACACACCCGCCCTCCACAACTGTGATCTTGTCTCCCCCTCATCCCTCGTACTGTTATCATGCAGATTTTATTTCGTTCAATTCCCACAGCATACCAATGTGCATCTTGGGGTTCACGATGCCTTGACTCCTGCCAACATACCCTTCTGTTCTCTGACCATAATTAACTGGAATTTAACTAGAGTTTCTTTGGACACAGACAAAGATTCTACACCCAGAACTAGCAAACAGAAACTCGTTTTGTGAGTTTTTCCGTAGCTGAAAATACAAAAGTGAATTAACTCAGTGTCTAGTGAAACAAAGCTGAAAATCTTCTCGCATGGATGGGAATAATGGTGGCTCCTGCTCCTCGCTTGAAATTGGGAAGGGGATGTTTACTCCCAAATCTCTTCTTAAAGGTGGATTTTAAGGACACTTTGTAGCTACAACTTCTGTCCTTATGATTCTTATCACATTGCAAACTGCCTTTCATCCCTATAGTTCTGCTGCAACCACATTACTGGACATTTGCCTATAAGAAATACTGTCACTATATTTTACAGTAAATCCTGTGAAACATTTTGAGACATCCTCCGTGAAAGATGTTATATTAAAAAAATATATTATTTATGATTTATTTAAGACTATGAGCAATTCATCCCCAGCACTTTCTGGATATTTTTCAATCTATTTTTGTTTGAGTGCCTTGTTTGAGCGATAATGTGCAAATTGGCTGCAGGGTTGTCCTACAGTTGTTATACTCCAAAATCCTATGAAATAATCCTGTGAGAGGATCTTTCAACAGCATGATACAGAGCTATATGAAGTTTTCTTTATTGTTCTGTATGTAATCTTAAAACTGAAAACAATCAAATTTCTGAAGTGCATTGTCATTTATTTATGGCCACTGGTCATGAAAAAGTACCTGACTGTTCAGCCCTTTGGGACATTCTCCCGTCGTGAAAGGCGTTTTACAAATGTAATTTTTTATTGTATTGTTAAACACACTAATTTATTAGATTATTTTCAAACTGTCTATTTTGCTTCTCACAATTGATTCTATTAGTTTTTTAGTCATTTACGTCAGGTTAATGGATCTGTAGTTGTAACGTATTATACCGTATAGTAAGTTTAGAGTAATCTAACAGACTAGCTATAGTATGGTTTAAAGTGAATCACACACAACTCAATAACTCTTCAACTAAAACAAATGTTCAATGTCTTTCTAAACCCAAGGGAGACAGAGGACCTGTTGGAGAAAAGGGAATTCAAGGAATAGGAGAAAGAGGATTTCCGGGGCCTAAAGTAAGTGTGGAATGACCTGCGTATACCTCATGGATGATTACTTCCCATTACCTTTTAAAAAATGATTTTATCAACAAAACCGAGAGCTATTGAAAACCCATGTGCTTTGAGAAAAAATAGTATGGAATATTTGACTAATCATTGCCATTCTGGTATCAGGCTAGCCCAGGTAATGGCACTCTCACTTCAGAGTCAGAAGGTTATGGGTTCAAACCCCAGGTTTGATGCCCACAGCCTGTACTTTATCGTATTCAGTAAAGCACTGCTTTGTCAGACGTACGTCTTTCAGATGAGATGCTCAATTGAGGTGCCATTTGCCTGTTCAGATTGGACATCAAAAATCACATGGCACCTGAACAGGCAAGAGAGTTACTTCCGATGTCCTCCAAATCAACAATCCTCCAAAGAAAATTTGACATTCACTTCATGGCTGTTTGAGCGATATTCTGCAAAATTGTTCACCTAGAAAACACAATTGTTACACTCTAAAATCCTGTGAAATAATTTGAGACATTTCAACAACATGATAAGAAATGTTTTAATTTTTTTATTGTTGTAGGCGTAATCTTAAAACTGAAAACAATCAAATTTCTGAAGTGCATTGTAATTTTTTTTATGGCCACTGCTCATGCAAAAGTTTTTGGCAAAGTGATTGGGGGTCAGATTTATGGTATTTGTCAATCAAATCTATTCCACATTGAAGGAACAGTGTCAGAATGTGTTTTGAAATCCCTTTCCACTTGCAACCACCAGGTCTCTCTTGGCTTATTGAGGGGACTTTAATCTGAATCAGATTTATTCAGGCTAGTATCTCACGAATTGGAAAGGTAGTTTTTGGGACTTGAAAATTATCCCTCCTGAGTCAAGATAACACCACTCAGGTCTTTTCAGCTGGGTTTGGCCACCACTTTTATTCAGAAATCATCAGGAAGCTTCAGAAGATATTTTTATATCATTCCTTATATAAATTACTGGATATATTTGGGAGTAGTGCAATTTTGACCTCATTATTTGGGGGGCAGGAATAGAGCCATTTTAAGTCAGTGGCTTGTGATACATTTCAATTCATCATATATTGGTAAATAGATGGAGAAATTTCATGAAGACTCCTTCTCTTCTGTTTACAGGTTCCATTTATACTCCTGTTAAGCATAACATTTTGTAAAAGCTAATATGCCCTTTGTTGAAATCTGTAGAAGTTTGTCTCTTTTATGTATAATATGAAGTGAAATTTATTTGAAGTTTACAGCCTTAGAGTCCAGGCCTCCAATTCTCACTCTTTCGAATGTTAATCTCTGGTAGTAACTAGACTCCATTCATTGTAAATATCATAATCTTAAACTCTTTAATTAGACTCTAAACTGTTAAACTGTTCAAAATATAAGGCATTCTTCCAAATAAACAACTTTTTGTTCCATGAGGTACTTTATAGTGTTTCTTTTTAACTTGAATCTTTGAGGAAGTTATATTGTAGATGATCCAGAGTAAGCTTGAAACAATACTTCAGCAATAATGTCTTATTCCGTAATGTGAGATGTAATCTATCATATTGATATATTACATATATTATATATCATATATATATATATAAAAGTCTATATGATGTATGAATATAAACATACGGTTTTGTATAGCTGGCTCCCAACTTTCTCAGATGTATTTTTGTCCTCTTTACTTGTCTCTGACCAAATCCGACACTACACGGGAAAGCCTCACCCATGTCTGTCACCTCCAGACTAGACTTCTCATCATCGTTTTTGTTGGCCTCTCCTGCTCTATCTTCCACATCCTCCAGCAGCTACTTCTGTCCTGTACCAAGCTCCAGGATCCCATCACCCCTAAGCTTGCCGCCTCCACTAGCTCCCTATCCCCCACTTAATGAACATTAAATATCCTTGTCCTCACATTCCTCTGTAGTCTCTTGTGATCCTATTCTCACTCAATGCATCCATTACCAACTCTGGCCTCTTATGTCTCCCAGTTGCTCTGCATCACAATTGGCAGGCGAGCTGGCAACCATTCTCTGCAATTCTTCCCAAATCCCTAAAATTGCTAGCCTAGAACAGCTTTGGTTCCTTTTTCAGTGTGTTTGAATGCTGTGTAGATGATGCTGCACCCTAGTCACTTTGAGGCAAGAGAAATGGCAGCTCCAGTCACCAACACAGACCAGGAAAGAGCAGTTTTCAGATGTGTTTTCGGACACATGTCCCCCTGCCGAAGCCCTCAGCACAGGTGCACAATCTGCTGTGTGAACCTCTTTAAGATGTCCTCCTGACATGAAAGGCATTTAAATTGATGTAAATAGTTGTTTTTTCCTGTATTCAGTACATGGTTCAAGCTTCCAAAAGTATTTTCGCTTTCACTGTTTTTGATAAATATAAATTTCACATTAACTTTGCAGAGTCTAAGTGGTGCAGTCATTTCTGGTTTATAATATGTACATGCCTGAAATTAAAGCCAGTTTCAAATTGTGTCCTTACTTACTTTGCTCTTTAGGGTGACTCAGGACTGAAGGGACCAGAAGGATTTCCAGGCAAGCCAGGCAATACAGGAAAAGTGGGATCAAAGGTACAGTGAACGTTTATACTCTTCCCCTCTTCACCCCCCCATATCTTCCTCTCCTTTGAGTGAAGGTGATGTCTCATGCTATGGCATAGTTCCCCGAGTGCAGGCAGCTCTCTGGTACATCTCTTAGAGAGGTCCCACCACCATGCCTCATCTTGTTGATGCGCCTATTCAACAAATGTTTTCTAGTAGAATTCGGAGGATACTGATCATAAGATCACAAGTTTGGTTTCGATGAAGAAGGTCCTTCAGTCCATCCGATGTCATCCTTCATTATTGTCCTCCCATCACAGTATTGAGCTATTTTTTAAAATGAGTCCAGGGTCCTGGCCTCTCCCACCATTCCTGGCAAACTGTTCCCATCGTTAATTACACTGTGGATAAAGAAACACTTCCCAGTATCTGTCCTGAAATTGTGCTTTGCAACTCTAAATCTATGTCCTCTTGTTCTACTGCTTTGGAACACCCTAAAGCACAAACCAAGGATCAAATCGGAAATATTTGTGGTTTGTGTATCTCAGTACCACAGAGATTTGTTAATTTAGTGGCTAATCATTCAGGAAGTTCTAAAACAGATTACTTCACAAGGTCACAGGACCTTGAGAGGAGAGAGTTATTTTCGGGTTGCTTGATTTCATGATTCCAGAATTCATACACTACCATTTCAGCATTGTTTGAAAAGAAAAGGGAGTTTCTCCTGGTGTCCTGGACAACAATCCCTCAAATAAAATTGGTGATGCACTTCACAGCTGTTTGTGAGGCACAACTGTGCATAAATTGGCTGCCACAATTGCCTACATTTACTCCCAGTCACTACATTTTACAATACATTTTGTGAAGCCTGTGAGACAACCTCCTAATGTGAAAAACAACAGCAACAAAATTACATTTGTGTAGTGCCTTTCATGTTGGGAGGATGTCCCAAGGCACTGGACAGCAGAGTTTCAGACCCGAGCTGAGGGTCAGGGTCAGGGAGGAAGCAGGGAGATCGAAAGCACAGTCGAAGAGGAGAGTCTTTAGATGGGTCTTGAAGGAGGCAAGGGAGGGGGCAAGGCAAAGGGACTGCAGGATGAAGTTGCAGAGGGTGAGGGCAGAGTGGCAGAAGGCCCGCCCACCAATAGTGGGGCAAGCGAGGCAGGGGACGTGAAGCAGGCCGGAGCCAATGGGCGGAGGGAGCAAGCAGGATGTTAGGGAGTCACAGGGGTAGGGGGGAGCAAGATCATGGAGGGCTTCGAAGGGGATGACCAGGATCTTGTACTGTATCCTCTGTGATGGGAAGCCAGTGGCCTTGGGCGAGCATGGGGTCGATAGGGTCACAGAGCCTGGTGTGGGAGAGAATGCAGGCTGCAGAGTTCTGGATGATCTGCAGCCTGTGGAGGGAGGAGTTGGGGAGGTTGACAAGCATTGAGTTTGCATAGTCGAGCCTCGATGTAATGAAACCATGTACGAGAGTTTTGGCGGCTTGCGGTGTTAGACAGTGGCGGAGCTCAGCAAGGTTGCGGCGATGGAGGAAGGCAGAGTAGGTCATGGCACGGATGTGGGGTAGAAAGGATAGTTAAGTGTCAAACAAGACGCCAAGGTTCCAAATTGGCTTAGCGAGGTGGACTGTGCAACCATAGATGGTGATGCTGTCAGCGCCTGAGGTGAGGAGGCGCTATATCAAATGCAAGATTATTATTAAGATTTAAATGAGTCCAGCATCCTGACCTCTACTACTCTACCTGGTAACCCATTCCACCTATTAAGTTCCCTTTGTGTAAGGTTTTTAGTTTTTGCCCAGCTGAATTGAACTAACCAGATTCATGCAAATTCTACTTCCCCAGCTTTGTTTTGCACTCCCCTAGATTTATGTGGAATACAGATATTAATGTTATTAACTTTATTTTTGCTCCTGTGACAATTCTACCTATTGCCAGGCCTCTTTTATCATTTCTACTCTGTGTGAGAGTTATGTTTTGTAAGTGCAGACATGTGCTTTCAGATGTCCCTCTAAATGCTTTCTTTCCATACGTTGGACATGTGTTTTCGGTCCCCTCCACCTCATGGAAAGCAGAAAGGAGGGCGGATGTGATACATATGTAAAGAATTACAGCTTCATAAAGTGCTCTGCGCGGCTGATTTTAACATTCATTCAAAACCAACTTCTGAAGACTTTGAACAAACAAACAAACAAAGTTGTAAAGTTAGCCTTTAGAATGCTGACCCGTTGACAGAAACTCCCGCCTTCATGGGCCGATGGTTCTGTCCACTTTTACTACTGCATTGTGACATCGCCCATAAAATACAGTAAATTCACTTTACAGTGTATTCTGTGAAGCGCTTTGAGATGTCTCGAATATGTGATGAGGCGCTATATCAAAAAGCAAGGATTATTATCATTGCATGCCACAATGTTATGTCAATGAAGCAACTCGGACTAAATGATAGGCTGACTACTGCATTGTTAGTGGTGGTGGAGGTGAGGTGATACAGGATGTGATGTGATAACAAAATAGGATGTGATGTACTAAAATTAATATTTAATAATCAATCAATGCCCTGTGGTGAGAGTTGGGAAGTATCTGTTACCAAATCTGTCACTAAGGACAAGTTTTAAGGCCACCTTTTATATCACATTTTCCACTTTTGACCCTAAACTACTAAACAAACATAATTTTAAAGAAAAAGAAAATACTTTAAATATTTACATTACTTCTCCATTCTTCCCTTTGTATTTTTAAAAAATATTTATTTTTTTGTGACTGTGACAACCCGCTTCTTCACAGACCTCGATTCTAATTATTTTCCACTTTAAAATCTGTTTCTTTTTTGATGGAACTCTTTAAAATAATTAGAAATACAGATGGAGTATCTGTACATGAACTGGATATTCGACTTACAAATTAGAGAGCATAGCGTTAAAATTAAACGGGACTATAAATTAGAAGGTTATTTCCCCCAAACCATAGTGGATACGTGGAACAGACCCACAAGAGAAAATAATTGTTGGAGGATTTTGAGGTACGTGCAGATTGAAGTGAACTATTGCGGATGAGGGGGAGAGAAGGCAAAATTGTCCATTGTGGGAAGGAGACTGGGTTTGTAGTAGTGGAGATATGTGATGAATCAATGTGGAGTTTTTTGTTTGTTGTTCTGTTTAGTAACCTAAGCTGTTATGCTTTAAAAGTTGGCTTTTGCCGACCTGAGATGTACAATATGTCAGATCAATGTTCTTTCACATCAGGGACTGGGATTTGAATTCAGCCCAGAAAGAGAGAATGATTGTTTTCTCAGCTGTCAAGTACTCTAAAGGAAATGAGATGGATCCGCTATCGAGTCGTTAAAATTTTGTTGAGAAAAACATAATCGGCTGGTAATATGACAAAAAGGACAACGCCAATTTACATTCATATAGGATTATGTCTTGAGCGTTTCATGAAGAAAGGGGTGGATGCCGAAAAGGTGAGGAGGATGAAGGGAGAAGGTTACCATTGTGGTGTCCATCGAAGAGGTTGGTTTTTAGGTGGGATTTAAAGACACAAAGAGGGGCCAAGACAAAGAGGTACAGGGAGGAGATTCCATTTGATAGGGGCATCATGACACAATCACAGAGTGCAAATGCCATGGCTTCAACGTTTTCAATTTGACCACCAGTTAATGTTTTCCTGTGTTTTCCCATGTTCCTAATTTACAGTGAATTTTTATTTTATTTCTCCAGGGAGAACAGGGAGACCAAGGCCCAACCGGGCCCCCAGGGCTTACTAGAAAAGGAGAACCAGGTAAAAAGGTAAATGTCACATTATTGTGTTGCGTTATGGTGTATCACAAGATCGGTTTGGATGAAGAAGGCCCTTTGGCCCATCTGATCATTCGTCCAGAACTCACTCTACCCTCCTCCCATCACAACACCAAGTTGCTTTTTTAAATGAATCCAGTGTCTTGGCCTCAATGTTTCCAGTCATTGATTACTCTCTGGGTAAAGAAACACTCTCTGTGTCTATCCTGAAATTGCACTGTGCAACTCTAAACCTATGACCTCTTGTTCTACTGTCTTATTGCATTTTTAAGTATTGTTCTGGGTTTACTTTTTCAATTCCTTTTGATAATGTTATACACTCTATGAGATCCCTTCTAAGGCGTCTTCTTTCAAGATAGAGGAACCCTAGCTTTTCTAATCACTTAAAAGATGTCCAGAGTTTGTCATGATCTTAGCCTTAAAACGATTGGCTTAATAGGTAAGACTGCACAGAATTTTGGAATGTTCTTTAATTCAATTTTAATTTGAAAGATATTTTTTGTAACACAAACAACACACACAGTAAGATCATGCACTGTGCAGGGTTTCCATGTTTCTATCTGGGGCATTGTTTTTGGCAGGTGCTGCAGGTAAAGTACTTTATAGACCTTCCCCCTCCCTCCTTCCTCCCCCCTCCTCATTAATGTTACAGATTGAATTGTGATCATCACCACAAATAATCCCAGTACTGTCCCACAGACCGCTTTAACAATCCTATCACAGAGTTAAGTTTTATTTTTCACTGCAGATCAGCCAAGGGGAGTCAAAATCAGTCCAAAACTCAAATGTATTACTTATTTTGAAACATATGTTTAAAATGAGCTGAATCAACTATCCCCAGATGTTTTTCAGATGTTACACCCAACCTTCATCTGCCTGTTTGGGTATAAATGATTCCATGAGACTAGTCAAATGGAGAATGGAGTTTCTCCCAGGCTCCTGAGCAACAATCACCAAATAAATTTGTCGCTCACTTCGTGGTTGTTTATCGGGCTTGTTTTGTGCAAAAAATCTGTTGAGTTTGACCACTGGGGAAAAGAGTCACTAAACTTGTCACTAATTGCTTGTGAAACTCTTTGAGATCTTTTGACCTTACATGCACTGTATTAAATGCAATTATCATTATACACTGTGCCATGATTAATAACTCCTGGCTAATAGTAGCCTACTAGTTAATTCAGTTTTGATGGAACTATCAGTTATCAAGACAATATTTCTAAAATATAAACAGGTGGTAGTAACACACATAGGTCATAGCTTTACAGTCTTCAGAGCCATTCATGGTGGTACCATTGGTGGGAGACTGCATGCAAATCCAGTGAAAAATGTGCGTGTATGAATCATTAATGGCTCGTTTATTCTCTCTGCCAGGGTGATATAGGTGAAAGAGGAACCACTGGATTTAGTGGACCTCCTGGACCAGCGGGACCAGCGGGACCTAAAGTAAGCTTCACATCATATGGTTTGGTTTGAAGGGAACTTTTTGAAGTGTTAATACAGGAGTTTGAGCAATAAAAAAACATAACCCACACACTTTGGATGAAGAGCGAGGCAGCTGCAGCCTGTTGGCTGGAGAGAAGTCATTTGTATTAATATGGATTGGTTTGGTTGTTTGAACCACTCTACTCTGAACTCTGTATGAACAGTGCTTGAACCATTCTTATCTTCCAATCTAAATAGCTGGTCCCTCAGCATTTGCATAGATAAATTGTCCTACTACCCTAAGGGCCCATCCTCTTAGGACGTATGTAGTTTTTAAATGTTGAATCACCACAAAGCAAGATTTTCAGGCTGATTAAACATTCAGTGCATATCGTGTTTTAAACTGTAGGCCATAACAATTCCAGGTGGACTAATTCAAAAGTTGAAGATGGAATGTTATTTTTAAACCAAATGATGGAAAAGAATTGTGAATCACTTTAGCACCCTTGTTTTAGATGATCCTATAGCAGAGCCTTGTTATAACAATCCATAAAGCCCCAACCCACACTACACAGACGGGGCTGGCTGCTCACACAGTCAGGTGCCACAGTACAAAACAACAGCTTCTTGAGAAGAGGGGAGCAAATGGGGAAGAGAGACAAAGAGGCTGCTTAGCTGTAAAATGAATAGTTTTCTCACAGTAATAAAGCATGTAATCCAAACTTTTGAAGACATTTAGGGTGTATTATTTACTTGTGGCATTTCTCAGATTTGATATAAAAAAGGATTACCATTTTTGTTTGCTTACCACTCCAATGAGATTTTGTAACTAGTCTGATGGCTTGCCCTGCCTATCATAGTGATGAAAGGCTTTGATGACCGCACTCAATAGCACTCATTCTTACTTCTACTTTGGAAACTGGCAAAATGAAGGAAAGTAAATGGTGGCTTCAAGCAAATTTCCTCCCAATTTCTTGCCCCTGAAGGGGAAGGCTTTTGCTGAGGTGTGTTTCCACAGCCCATTGAATGGTTCTTCAGGTGTGAGCTAAAGCCCTCAGTGTCGGCCAGACATTCACTGAAAGGAGTATCGAAGATAACCTCAGTCCTGTCCTCACATCCATATGTTACAGCAGGCAACTTTTTGCATTCGTCGGATATTTTTCCCCTTCTCCAGTGACCAGAGGTAGTGACATTAAGTAAAAAGTTCTTCCAGTGGTACCTGTATTTAATAGTTCTGTAACAGAATGAAAATTTTGACAGATGTTGCTACTAAACTAAATGTGTTGTGATTTCAGGGAGAGCCTGGGTATTCGGGAAGAATTGGTCTGCCTGGCCAAGAGGGTAAAGGACTTCCAGGAGCAAAGGTAAGAGAACAGTCTGACTGTTAAAATGCTATCAAAGAGCTGCAAATATACAGACATGGGGATTTCTGCAAATTTTTCCAACATTGCTGGCCATGAGTAGGCTGTAAGCTTAGCTTAGTAATGCAGCCCAGCACTAGAATTAGACTGCATCATATGCCAATCAAAAACTGTGATTTGTTGCTTTGGAAATAGTAGCTTGTTTTCTACATGTGCAGCTGCTCCTGAGCTGCAACCAGTGGTGCACACTGTACATATAGCTCCACCTGACACTGTAAAGGCAGTAAATCCACAGCACCTCAGCCTTGGTGACTGAGAGCCATCAAATGATTCAGCCGTATAGACTAATGTAACATACAGTGAACTTAAGACTAGTAGCAGCGACTCTATGACTGCTTCCCCATTATTTGCAGATGTTGTCAATGTCACACCATTTAGCAGGAAGAGGAATTTCACTCCAGCAATGTCCATCCAAAGAAAGGTTGTCAAAGATCCAAAATCTCTCAAGATCTTAATCTTGAAAGTATTACCTTAACATTTAAGATCGTGCAGAATTTGGGAAAATTCTTAAATGCAATCCGAGACTGGGATAAATTTCAGGCCGGCTGATCTTTGATAATAATAGTAATCCTTGCATTTGATATAGCATCTTATCCCATCTTCGAGAGTCTCAAAGTGCTTCACAGAATATACTGCAAACTGAATGTTTTGTATATTTTGTGAGCGAAATGCAGCAACAAATTGCACACAGCAGTGTCCCACAAACAGTCATTTGTGACCAAATTTTTTTTGAGGGATTATTACCCCTGGAAAGCAATCCGCCGCTAATGACTAACAACCAGGTTCCTGCTTACTGCTAGGTAAACAGAGGCGTGTGGAGTAAGGAAACTTGCCTGACATCTAACCCTGCCCGGGAATCAAAGCCAGGTTCTTTTGTTTGTGAGGCGAGCGCTCTAACCAATACACTTCAGGAATCCATTTGAAAATGAATGAAAAGCTAATGTGGTTTAAACATTTTTTCATTGTAGGGGGACCAAGGACTGCCTGGGCCACAAGGTGATGCCGGTGACCCAGGAATTGGATTAGTTGGACCTAAGGTACAAGAATTGGGGCATCAAGCAAATATTGTCCGAATAATAGTTATAAATCTGCACACATTTTATTTTCTAAACCAGCTATGTTCAGTTAAAAACTAGTTATCAGGAGGGCACAAAAGAGGTCAGATGAAGAGGGTGCTTCAAGCCATTTTCTCTCATCCTTCCCTCAGTTTTAAATTGAATTAAATATTCCTTTGCCTGTTTGTTTGAAATTCCTGGAAGTACAATACCAACGGGGTTGGAGAAGCACTTGTGGTTAAAGATAGCAGCAGGGATGAGATCTTGATGCTGGGAACATCATGCTGCCCCATGAGAACTCAGCTCTACGCAGAACTAATCTAAGTTTTTTAAAAATAAAATTCCTCCCCATCTGGATTATTTGATCGCTTTTGCCTTTGTACTACCACCGAATCTGTTGACAGAAAGAACTTTGCAAATGTTTTAGGAAATGTTTCCATAGATTTCTCTCTCAGTGTCCGTGATAAACTGTTGAACACTTTGCCTCAATGATTGTAATTTGGGACTGATATCTACTGCTGTTGATTTCATGTTCATTAGGGAAATCGTGGACATCTTGGACCACGTGGGGCCCCTGGACCTAAAGGAGATGGGTACATTGGCCCTCCGGCAAGTGGTGATAATGATTTAATCTTGTAGCAGTTTATTTAACCCTATACGTCCCAGAGTGATCATAAACAGGTAATTGCATGAGCCAAATATACTAAAACCCAGGCTATCCACACTAATGGTGGGGGGGAGATCGGTCCGGTGAGCCACAATTTACAGCTAAATGTAATTCCGGTATTGGCATTGTAATTGTTGGAATCCTACGAGCAGAAGAATAAGATCATGGGATTCAAACAATTTGAGTCAAAGTTGACATCCCTGACCACAGTGAAGCCCAGCGAGGATGATAAGTTGGGAACATGCACAAGGAGAGTTGCACTGGTGGGAGTCCACAGACATGTTTGTTTAGTTTTGTTTTTTGGTTTGTGGTCCCAGTCTGGTTAGGTCTGAATTCCAGATCCCCAGAGTGCGGTAAACCAGGGTACTGTGGCGACAACCTAGCTCTGGTACAATACTGTAGGATTTCACACTTGCAGGAATCACCTAAATTTCAAGTGCTGTTTTGCGGGATTGGTTTGCAATATTTCTTAATTAGACTCCTTATTTTTTGACTGAGTTTTCTTTAATGAGAACTCGGTCACAAATACTGGATCTTGTCAGTAATTGGATGTATGTCACGCTAACTCACAGGAATTTCACATTCTATTTACGGGCATATCTATGGGGAGCAGTGAGCAACTCTGCTCAGACGATTGAGTGAACTGGTTAGATTGCACAATAATTGCTTTTCATCAGTGGTGCTAATTGCAAGCTATGTGGTTTTACCTGTTTAGACTCCAGGAGTACCCCAAACGCACACTCTGGGGTCTCCAAACCTTGGCTCCTAGCAACCTGCTTCCTGCTTACTTCATTCCATGCCAACAACCTATTTCTGGAATTTCCATGTGTAGGTGGGATGCATGTAATTCTCAGTTTGGTTTGGATATTTTTAAGCATGGGGATGAGTTTCCACCTGTGTCAGACACCCGGCTGACAAAAAAAAGTGCTAATTGGCTTGTCCTTTGGGTGAGAAAAGAATTTCCAATATGTGATAGTTTTAGGCTCCTGTTAAGGTTGCCACAAGGACAATGCTTTGAGAATATCAGCTTCTACTGTCAGAACCATCACCTTATTAATAAATACTTTGCAAGTTGTTTTGGCCTGTTCAGAGTTACAAGAGTGTTTGAAATTTTACTTCAGGGCATTCAAGGATCCGTAGGCCCACGTGGGGATCCAGGGGAAGATGGCAAAGGATTGCCTGGAGATAAGGTAAATTGATGTGTTTTCATTACCATGTGTATTTCTCAAGGTGATGGAAGTCAGTGCTGGAGTATAAGTATATATGCACTGTCCAAGACAGAGGATAGCTGTGCCCTTAGCCTAAAGATGATTGTCTCAAAATGTAATATTATGCAGAATTTTGGAAATTATTCACTTCATTATTATTTTGATGCCAGTTATCTGTAAATCTTAAAAAGACAAGGGTAAAGTGGGGGTGCAATAGAGGTTTTCAAAATAAGGAATATTTTTTGATAGGATAGATAGAGAAAGACTGTTTTCATTGAACAGTGAATCAATTAACAAGTGGGAATAAATTGAGGATTATCACTGGAAGAGAAAAGGGAGAGGTTAGAGAACTCTCCTTGCACTTAAGGGTATTAGCATATGGTGTGCCTTATCAGAAATGGTTAAATCCTTCATAGAATGTAAAAGGAAACTGCACAAGTGCTCAAGGAAAAATGACACTAAATTGGATGAAGGAAGAGGAAGAGCAGTGAAATAGGATTAGTGTAGATATAGTGGATTCCTGTAGCTCAGTGGTTAGAGCACTCGCCTCGCAAGAGAGTGACCTGGGTTCGATTCCTGGCAGGGCAAAACCTTGGGAAAGTTTCCTTACTACACACGCTTGATAATAATCTCAAGAAACAAAAACAATAATAAATTGGTCAATGAATCCATGACTGTTGTGGGATACTGCTGTGCGCAATTGGCTGCCACATTTCGCCCACAATATACGGTCAATTCACTTTATCCTGGCTTGCGCTATAACAAGGTGTGATAGCTGGTTTCACTGAGCATATATTAAGCTCCTTGCCTGCACACCAGCTGGTTCCTATCACCAACTAAATAGTTGATTTGCAAATCATGCAGTCTGCCTTAAGAACTATCTTTTCAACCACGCAGCTGTGTAAAGCACTTTGAGACGTCCTCCTGATGTGAAAGGGGCAATATAAATATATTGTTGTTATCATCATAAGGTTACTGCTGACATAATTTCCTGTGTCTTTTTCATGTGCACGTAGATGGCATGTGCTTTGGGACGTCCTCCCGACGTGAAAGACGCTATACAAATGTAATTTTGTATTGTATACATATGTGGAAACCTCAGTCTGATGTGGAAGCCACAATCTGATTACTCCAACATGGGTTGTCATATGTGTCAAACACTCAGCTGACCAAAAAAATGCTTTTTACACATCCTGTTGTCATAGTTACCCTGACAATGAAAGTGATGGATCTGCTGTCACTTCTACGTCCATTTCAAACCATCCCTGATCAAAGTGTAAACATATTGCACATCTGTTGGAAGGTTATACTCAGTACCACAAGAACGAGGGAAAATTTTTCAGTGTGTGCATTTCCTGAAAGCCTTGCTATTATTTTGTGTTAGAGTTATTGTTGCAACATTACTAGTAAAGTACACAACATAACTAAAGGCTGTTTGCAAACCTTTCAGGGAGAAATTGGATATCCGGGGCCTACAGGTCAAAGAGGTTTTCAAGGGGTAGGATTTCCTGGTTTAAAGGTTAGTGTTGATTGCAACCTGGGTAAGGGTAATGGAAAAGAGCAGAGAAATTTGCAAATCCGGTGGGGGTGGTGGAGGGGGATGGAGTTTGGGGAAGGGAAACTGGAGACCGTCATGACAGACCAAATAACCTTATGTGCTGAAATTTCTATGACTTCTTACTATGTTTAAAAACATACACCCAGAAGTGTCCATATTGGTGTTGAAGTTTTTATTACCATAAGTATAGACAAACTGCGACCAGATGGATAATTTAATAATGTTTGCACCCAATAGTAAAATTTATAACACCCAATTAGGATTGTGGAGCCCTGTAGCTCAGTGGTTAGAGCACTCGCCTCACAAGCGAGAGACCTGGGTTCGATTCCCAGCAAGGTGAAACCTTGGGCAAGTTTCCTTACTACACACGCCTGATAATAATCCCTCAAGAAAATAAGCAATAATAAATTGGACACTTCAATCAACGACTGTTTGTGGGACACTGCTGTGCGCAATTGGCTGCCACGTTTCGCCCACAAAATATACAGTTAATTCACTTTACAGTCTATTCTGTGAAGCGCTTTGAGACATCTAGAAGACGTGATAAGGTGCTATATCAAATGCAAGGATTATTATTATTGAATAGTGAAATAAAATACATGAGGAACGAGCAGGATGCTGAGATTATTTTAGATTGCTCATGTGGAGAAGATCAGCAATGCAGATTTGATGGGCAAATTAGCTTGTGTTCTGTGATTCTAAGTTATTCATTGTTTTGCGTGTGCATAAATACAGGGAGCTGTTGGGAAACTGGGGCCACATGGACCCAAAGGAGAACAAGGAGAAGGTATACAAGGATCAAAGGTAATAAATCTAAGGCCTTTCCTACATTTTCATTTTTAAAGCTTTTACTCTTGTCCGTCTTCCACGTGACCTGCAAGTATAACACTTACTTAAACCTGAGGTGGCTATGGGAAGGTTGCAGAAAATGGCAGGAAGGTGAAGAGAAGTTAGTGGGTGAAGGTAAATACATTTGAAATGCAGTTATTGTTTAAGCTATCTGTGCTTGTTACTATTTCTTGTAAACATATTATGTTTAATGTTAATGGATCATTCATAGTTAATCTTCACAATTATTTTGTCATTTGCATCATTTCGATATCTGTAGGAAAGCCAGAGGTCTGGAATTTCAGGTAGTCTTAGCCTGCAAGACCATTTTGTCTTAAAATTTAAGATTAAATAGAATTATGAAAAGTTCTTCACTTCAAAGTTAATTTGGAAGCTGATTCTTTTGAAGAACTGTTGAAATTGGCCGCTGAATTAAGGCCACACCCTATGGCTTCATTAAAAGTTATTTGCACAGTGATTCAATTTCAACACTTTTGCAGGGAGATCTGGGTCCTCGAGGTGTGCCAGGACCCAGAGGACCACAAGGGGAAAGTATACAGGGAGAGAAGGTAAGATGGCTGTTTATGGTACCAGTTTGGTATAGGGCGTCAGCTTGGCTCAGTTGGTAACACTCTCACCTTTGGGTCTGAAGTTTGTGAGTTCAAATCCCATATCAAGACTTGAGCTCATAGTTTAAGTGTGGTCCAACTGGCAGGCTGCTGGCCGCAACAGCTCCCACCCCCACCCGTCGGCCCCCTCCACCCCCACTCCATTTCATGTGGCCCAACTACTCCCTCCATAACACAGCTCATGTGGAGTATAAACACTGGCATAGACCAGTTGGGCCAAATGGCCTGTTTCTGTGCTGTATATTCTAATGCATTCTAATGTTATGTTTTTGGAAGTGAAATACAAAAGTATTGCTTATTTGGTAAATGCGCTCTGTGAAAAGACTGTGAGTGTCTCCCAGTGTCTTGGCCAACAATCCTTCAGATAAATTGCTCATTCTCTTCATTGTTGTTAATGACTTGCTGTGTGCAAAGTGGCTCTTGTGTTTGCTTACAAAAATAGCCACTATACTTTACAGTAATTACTTTGAAGTGTTTTGAGATGTTTCAAAGTGATGAGGTGCTATAAAAATGCAACTTCTTTCTTTGCACCTTGTTCCAATATCAGTAGCCTCTGAATTGTAGAGTTTGCCTCTTTACGGATAGTTGGTAGCACTCTTGCCTTTGAGTCAGATGCTTGAGGGTTCAAGCCCCACATCAGAACCTTGAACTCACAGTCAAGGCTGAGACTCCAGAGTGTCCAATGCAGTGCTGGAGGTTGTGCTGCATTGTTTGAGGTGCCATCCTCCAAGTAAAACGTTGAACCAAAGCTCCATCTGCCTGTTCAGGTACACATCACATTGCACTACTAAAAAAGAAAATAAATTTCTCCCAGTGTCCTGCTCAAGAATCCCTCAAACAAAATTGGTCAATCACTTCATGACTGTTTCTGGGACATTGCTGTCACAAATTGGCTGCCACGTTCGCCCACAAATACGCAATTGCTACACTTCACAGCAGTGGTGGACTGACTTCCCAAAAGGGGTCCCCAAAAGGATTTTCAGCTATAATGGGGGCACCAATTCAACATAAAACCTCTGTATGTTTACAAACTTTGTCAGGGCTTAAACCGAAGGGCAGCATTCGGACAGTGATTGGCTATCATAGCTGTCACTCACCAGGGAGGGCAGACCCTGGGTGATCATTGGCTGGTCCAAGCTGTCACTCACCCAGATGTTGGGCTTTGGAGCAGTAAGTATCGGAAGCCAATAACAGAGGTGCTCGGGAGCCAATCACATGTCACGATTTCCCATATAACCAGACTGCCAACTGTTTCACAGAAAGATCACGTGAAGCACTTTGAGACATCTCAATGACATGGTAAGGCACTATAACAAATGCAAAGCTTAAGTTAAGTGTCTAAAATGTATCTTATTAACACAAGGGAGGTGCCAAGATGTATTTTTGTGTTATCGGGCATTATAGAAGGGAGTTTCTCACAGAGAGTGTTCTGGTCAACAGTCCCCCACATAAAATTGGTTTTTTGCTTCTTGGTTGTTTGTGAGACATTACTGTAAGCAAATTAGCTGCTGCATTTGCCTATAAATACACAGTTACTACACTAGAGTAAAAGGTCTCCTCGACCCCATTTTCAGATGGGAGAGCTGAGGTTGGTCTCTTGGCTAGAATTTAAGAAATACAGAAACAAGCAAGCAAGAAAAATATGGAATTGATCATGTCATAAAATCCCATTAATTTAGGCTCACTCAGAGTGTGCATTGTGTTAATCCAAAGATCCTGTCTCATTCACCCTTGTCATTGTATTCATTTCGCTTTGAAGCGCTTTGGGACGTCCTCCCGACGTGAAAAGCGCTATATCAAATGCAAGGATTATTTCATCTACAAAAAAAAGTAGTCACTACACTTTACATTGAAGCCCATGGAGCGGTCCTCCTGACTTGAAAGGCACTAAACCAAATGCAAGTTATTATTGATAATATTCACCTTTATGTAGGGCGATCATGGATATAAAGGTGAACGAGGGAAGATGGGTGACAAAGGAGAACCAGGAATCCCTGGCCAAATTGGTCTTAAAGTAAGCCATTCAATTTTATTGCAAAACACGGTTTATTCTGAGAATACTTAAAGATCTCCTGGAACTTACCTCTTCTGTTATTCAAAAATTCTAGGGATATCCTGGAGAGAAAGGTGAATCTGGTTTAACTGTGAGTATCTATCCAAAGAAAGCAATTGCTTTCATGTACTTTAATTTATTTAATACAGTATATTACTTATTCTGAAATCTCTCTCCTTCCCTCCATATTCCTCTTTCAAATACCATCTAAAAGATTATCTCTTTGATTACGTTTTTGTCCACCTCCCGCCTATTTCCCACCCAGCTCAGGCAGCCCACTATCTCACTGTCTCTCTGTAATGAAACATCTGGATAATTCTTTGTGACCAGTCCATAGGATCAAAATTGCAGTATTGCTAATGCATTCAATTCCTTATGCAAGGAACCAGGCCCAAAGTGCTCAGTGAAGCCTCCACCACAACAACAACACCAAATTACATTTGTAAAGCGCCTTTCACGTCGGTAGGACGTCCCAAGGTACTGGACAGAGTTTTGGACCTGAGCTGGGGGTCGGGATCAGGGATTGTGGAAGGCAGGAGGGCAAGCAGGGAGATCAAAAGCATGGTTGAAGAAGAGGGTCTTGAGATGGGTCTTGAAGGTGGCAAGGGAGGTGGGGAGGCGGAGAGACTACAGGATGGAGGTGCAGAGGGTGGGGGCAGAGTGGCAGAAGTCCTGCCTGCCAATAGTGGGGCGAGCGAGACGGGGGATGTGAAACAGGCCGGAGCCCGCTGAGTGGAGGGAGCCAACAGGATGGTAGAGGGTTAGGCGGTCATAGAGGTAGAGGGGAGCAAGACCATGGAGGGCTTTGAAGGTGAGGACCAGGATGTTGAACTGTATCCTCTGGGTGATGGGAAGCCAGTGGAGTCAGGCGAGGATGATAGGGACATGGAGCCTGGTGCGGGAGAGGATACAGGCTGCAGAATTCTGGATGATCTGCAACCTATGGAGGGAGAAGTTGGGAAGGCCAACAAGCAAGGAGTTTGCAAAGTCGAGCCTCGATGTAATGAAAGCATGTATGTGGGTTTTGACAGCCTGTGGTGTGAGACAGTGGTGGAGCCGGGCGACATTGCAGAGGTGGGGGAAGGCAGAGGATAGTTGAGGGTCAAACAAGACCCAAGATTCCAGACTGGCTTAGCAAGGTGGAGTGTGCAACATGGATGGTGATGCTGTCAGCGCCTGAGGTGAGGAGGCTCTGACGGAAACCAATCTCGTTGACGGTCAACTGAAGAAAATTAGCTCTCATCCAGGACTTGTTGTCAGTCTGTCAGGATGTCAGTTGTCCTGAAATCGAGGGTGGAGGAAGAGAGATAGAGTTGGGGGTCATCGGAAGTTCATTGGAAGTTGACCCCATGTCTGCTGATGATGTCACCAAGAGGCAGCATGTAAAGCAGACTTGGACCCGTCCTCACAAAATTATATGATATTTCAAGACTGAACGATGAATCAGGCTTAAGTCTTTCTTCCTGTCCCAGAGATAAACACCTGGTACACTTTTTTAGTACTTTTTCCTATTGGAAGAATTTAAGGAAATCCACTCTGCAGAGGAATTAGTCGGAACGTTAAGTTAAATGGATTCCCAGGAATTCTTTGATTCAACCGAGAACTACGGTCTTGTGATCTTTAGTGAATACTCGAAGCTTGTGACGAAAGGTACGTGAGCGTTAGCGAGAAGCGGATGTTACACTGCCTGTTTCTCAAACATAACCTTTGACTGTGTCACTTTGAACATAACTTTTTGTTTCACCCAAAATACAGTCAATCCACTTAAAAGTATATTGGAGTTCTGTAGCTCTGTGGTTAGAGCACTCACCTCGGAAACGAGAGACCTGGGTTCGATTCCCAGCAGGGCAAAACCTTAGTCCCAAGTTTGTTTGCTTCACACACCTGATAATACTCCCTCAAGAAAAAAACACAATAATAATTTGGTCACTCAATCCACAACTGTTTGTGGGAAACTGCTGTGCGCAATTGGCTGCCGCGTTGCGCCCACAAATATACAGTTAATTCACTTTACAGTATATTCTGTGAAGCAAATTTAGACATCTAGAAGACGTGAAAAGCACTATATCAAATGCAAGGATTATTATTATTAATATTTTGTGAAGCGCTTTGACCCAGACGTGCGCATTCCAGGTTGGCTGTGCAGTAACTCTGCATGAAAATGGGTCAACCACCCTGCCTGATTAAAGAAACATTTACTGTGTACAAAAGGATGTGACCTAATCTAAAAGTGCATCAATGTAATTTTATATTGTTTATATATTTTCTTCAGCGAGAACATGTCATCATGTTGATCAGAGAAATCTGTGGTAAGTGCAGATGTTTAAATTGTAATCTCAGGATACAACTTATGTCTTCTGATTAACCTTTTTGATTTTATGATACAAAACGTTAAAATCTCTTTAAAAATCATTGCTTGTTGTGGATTTCAATAATTTGTTTCTGGAAACTGAAATGCTTTTGATTTTCTAAAAAAATGTCAGTGTTAAATTTACTGAGAGTCACTCTGCCCCATGCTAAGGCAAGGAGCGAGAATACCCACACTTACTAAGAACATAAGAAATACTGGACGAAGAAAGACCAAGGTGCATCAAGTTCGCCTTCCACCTTCCCGGCAGTTGCATGCACATGTGTCCTGAACTGCCTATGTACGATATCCATTATCTTATTTCCTAAGAGAAAACTATCTAATCTGTGTTTGAAAGAATCAACATTTCCTGCTTCAAGTGTCTCCCAAGGGAGCCTGCTCCACAGGGTCACCATTCGTTCACTGAAATAGAATTAATTCTGAATTTACCCCCTTCAATCGCAGGCCACGTCCTCTGGTTCTACTATTCTGGACATGTTGTAGTAGTCTGTCATGATCTATATTGTTTTGCTCCTTTAGAATCTTAAAGACAGCAATCATATCACCTTTCAATCTTCTCTTTTCCAGCGTGAACATGCCCAATTTACTTAGTCACTCCTCATAGTCCAGTCCTTCCATTCCCTCCATTATTTTGGTTGCTCTCCTCTGTATTTTCTCGATTTCTCCAATATCCTGTTTGTACTGGGGTGACCAGAACTGCACACAGTACTAAGTATCATTTTTGGCCTCTTATTTCAGAGGGCAGCTTTGGTCTTAAGATGGATAACAAATCAGTGGGCATCTTAGCATCAGTGCCTTCTGATTGACTGCTTTCAACAGTGTACGATGGCTCAGCAGCTCTCACAGCGCTGGTACACAAGATCACTCTAGTTCCATCGGTTGATGTGAGGGTCTAATTTGTTACAATCCGTAACCAGGAGTTGCTAAAGAAAATGAGTTGCAAATATCGACCTCTGCTGGTAACTGGATGTGTATTAGTCTGACACAGGAGATCTCAAGTAATCAGAGGTAGATCCTATTGGAGCAAATTTCTCATGTCTCGTTGGTGTGATGGACTTAACAATCACCAGCAAGAGGCGCTATGTTATAAATCCTGGAGTCCTGTAGCTCAGTAGTTAGAGCACTCGCTTTGCAAGCGAGAGACCTGAGTTCAATTCCAGGCAGAGGGCGAAACCGTGGGCAAGTTTCCTTACATGCCTAACATGACATGCCTAATAATAATCCCTCCAAAAAAACAAAAACAATAATAAATTGGTCATTTTCAATCCATGACTGTTTGTGGGACGTTGCTGTGCGCAATTGGCTGCCGCGTTCGCCCACAAATATACAGTCAATTCACTTTACAGTATGTTCTGTGAAGGGCTTTGGGACGTCCAGAAGACGTGAAATGCGCTATATCAAATGCAAGGATTATTATTATTATTAAGTCACTACATATTACATCCCCTAGTCAGCAAAGGAGCCATCAGTAAACATGTTCAGTTATTCAGAATAATGTGGTTTGACATATACTTGAAAATTTCTTGTACTACAATACGTGACAGAAAGAAACATTCTTACAATGTTCATGCACAATCGATTTTAATCAAGGTTTTGCAGAAGAATTTAAACAGAATGCTCCATTTAGTTTTCAGTATTTGTGTGATTTTTCATTACTCTTGTTACATTTCAGCAAGTTTCTTCATATCTTTTACTTATGTTTAAATTGCTGGCATCTCTCGGTCACATTCCAGGGTGTGGCATGAAGTGCAGCCTGCAGCCACTGGAGCTGGTGTTTGTGATTGACAGCTCTGAAAGTGTTGGCCCAGAAAACTTTGAAATTATCAAAGATTTTGTCATCAACCTATTAAACCAAATTACCATCAGCAACGACACCATTCGGATCGGAGTGGTACTTTATAGCGACAAAGCAAAAGAGATCATTAACTTTAAGCACCAAGTCTCTCAGGACCATGTCAAAGACTTGATCAGAAACCTGATATACTTGGGAGAAGGCACTCTCACGGGAACAGCCATGAACATGGCAAATAAGATTTTGATCGACTCCAGACCTGGAGTGCGCAAAGTGGCAGTGGTCATAACCGATGGACAGACTGACAAGAGGGATCCTTTCAGTCTGAATGAGACAGTGAGAGAGACCCATGCGGCCAACATTGAGGTGTATGCGATCGGTATATTGAACAAGAACGATCCATCCTACGAAGAATTTAAGAATGAAATGAACTTGATTGCCTCTGACCCTGATATGGAGCACGTTTACCTGATTGATGACTTTATGACAATTCTAAGTAAGTCTGCACAGAACGTGGTCATAAAAACAAATGAAGCTTAGCAAGTTTTCTCTTTTCATCACAAACTTTACCCAGGAGAAATAAAGTGCCTGTGCATTTCATATAGAATTGCATTTAAAAGCGCTAGAGAGTATGGAGGAAGTAGATTTAAGTATGTCAATAAAGGCTTGTTAACAAGGAGTAAAAGAGTAAGGGGAGAGAGCAGAGAAATAGAATTAGAGTAAATAGCTCTGATGGGGAAGCTAAGATAAGCACCATCACCCAAATGCCATCTGTTTTACTGAAATGGCTATGATTTTACCTTTCGCCCACAAAAAAATGTGCACATCTGTGTGCATTTGTTTTTGACTGATATCTCTCAAACCTGAGTCCATTTCCCAACAGACCACAGATGGATAAATGGACATGGTTTGAGAAGAAATCCTTGTAGTACATTACATGACGTAGAAAAACAAATGCTCCTACAATCTTCATGCACTATTGATTTAATCAGTGTTTACAGAAGAATTTAAACAGGAGATTGCTCAGTTTAATTTTCAGTGTTTAACTAAATAACTCTTTCCCACATCTTTAAAAGTTGCGTTCATTGGGATACAGTTCTTGCAATCTACTCTGTAAGCAGAGTGAGGTGTAATGTCACTATTTGACACAGTTCTAAGGTAATGGTACAGCAGCTTGAGATTGTGATTCTAACTTGTCAATCTGTGACTTTCAGCCCTTCAGTCTAAACTGTCCAGCGAAATCTGTAAAGAGGACGGGAGGATATATAGTTCAGTTCCCAGCTCCATACTGCTCCCTGGTGTGCCTTCACCTTTTCCTGACGATAAATACCAACCAGACAGGGATGTCCATTTCCTCGATACATCAGACCACAAGGAAACAACTGAGGTGAGTAAAGTGAAATGACAGGAAATTTAGCAGCTCGACTTTACTTGATAATGCTTCTCTTCTGGGAGAACCACTTAGCAAGTTTAAAGTGCCACAAAGATTTTTTTGGCAGCATTTGTTAAAATTTAAAGTGTTGGAGGATTTTGTTTTCTTTGTGTTGTGGAATTCCTAAAATTGTTTAATGTCTCATCCAAAGGACAGCACCTCCAACCATAATACACTGCATTAGGATGTTAAAAACAAATTGACATTGTAATGAGGAGACTGTAGGGTTGGTGTGTGATAAGGTAATATCAAATGAGCCAGAGGTCCTTCATCCTAATCTCTCTTTGCGATCATTTTTTTCCCCTTCTTATAGCGAGCTCCTCCAGGGAGACATGGAGAATATGTTGATAGTGAGGTGAGTTTGCTCACCGGGGGTGATGTGTCAGTGGATCACGTCAAACCAGGTGAGCCTCCTTTAAGAAGACCTGAAGCAGAACGTCAACCCGACATCCCGGAAGTGGTAGAGCCCACTCCTACAGTCAGCACTCCACAGACGATATTCCATGAGCCTGTTGATCGTGGAATATCAACAGGTAGTTGATGGACAATTTTTCAAAAGTAGTTAAAATGTAGCTTACATTAAGATGTATCCTGGACATTGTCATACATGACATATAATACAATTTAAGTCAAGCTGTAGATGGCCGCCAAGTGGGTTGGGGGCAGGGTGCGGACAGATGAAAGTGTGGTCAAAGAGGTGCATCTTGAGATGGACCTTGAACATTGGGAGGGATGGAGCGAGTCGGAAGGACTCTGGGATGGAGCTCCAGAGAGCAGGGGCTTGAAGCCTGCCTGGCAAATGTGGGGTGGAGATGTCAGGGTACAAGCACCCTAATGCTTGCTTAGCGAAGAGAGCAGCCGCTAGGGTAGGATTGAAGGAAGTCATAGAGGTTGTGTGGGACAAGACTATGGAGAGATTTGAACATGAAAATGAGGATCTTGAATTTGATCTGCTGAGGGATGGTGAGCCGATGGAGCCTAGCGAGGATGGGAGTGATAGGTTTGAGGGCCTAGTGCTGGAGGACCACATGCTTTCATGTATTGACCCATTTAGACAATGGTGTTTTGCAAAACTGAAGATTATTATTTTATTCTCTGAATATAACAAATCCCCCCCCCCCCCCCCCCCCCCCCCCCCCCCCCCCCCCCCCCCCCCCCCCCCCCCCCCCCCCCCCCCCCCCCCCCCCCCCCCCCCCCCCCCCCCCCCCCCCCCCCCCCCCCCCCCCCCCCCCCCCCCCCCCCCCCCCCCCCCCCCCCCCCCCCCCCCCCCCCCCCCCCCCCCCCCCCCCTGCTCGTCATGACCCACTTGCGCGCCTGATTCTGACTGAAGCTTATAATAATCTTGTTGTTGTAAGCCAACATACAACCATTTAATGATTAAATGTCAGTTTGGCGTGAAGCCATTGGGGTGAAGAGTATGTGTGTGTGGGGTGGGAGGGTTAACATACATTCCCATTCTTGGCAGATTACTTTTTTTAATGTAAAATATAAAACTAAAAGAATGTTCTTGCAGTTGCAGGGGCACCATGTCACTGCTGCAAATGCTGAATGCCTCCTGCATGTCCCTTGTGCCCTCCGTTCCACCATTGGTGGCCATGCTTTCATATAATACGCTCTGAAACTCTGGAACACTCTTCCTCCATTCCTCCGCCTTGCCGCTTCCTTCCCCATCTTCAGATCATGCCTGAAGACTTTCCTCTTCGACCGTGCCTACGGTCACCCTCCCTCTCCTCCAGTTTCAGCATCATGCTCCGCCACTGTCAAGCGCTCTGAGACACTACCTTGTGTGAGGGGCACAATATAAATGCAAGTGGTTGTTGAAGTATCTGTACCCTCACCCTTTGTATCCTGCACTACTGTTATTGACGAGCTGCTTAAACTATCACAGGGGGCCGTGCAAGAAGTAGTCGCTACCAACCATAGGTGGTGAACAAGCAAGTCAACTTTATTAGGTCTAATGCCAACAAAACAGATAAAGAATCTACTTGCAAACAGCACTCGCAGTGTGAAATGTCAACTCCTTTACCTGCCCCTCTCCACACTCAGGATTTCCATTGAGCCTCCTATACTCCTCTTGAAGCCTCCTGGGGCCCATTCCCAGGTTTGAATTTTACAGATTACGAGGGGCTGGGGTATTCCATTAGGAAGGGCTGTGCCAAGTCGCTGGAAGCCACTGTGAGGATTGACCTTCAACCTTCCAATCACCCTCGTGGGGCTGTTCCTCTCCTTTGAACTCTTCACCAGACCTGTATGACCGGGAATGGCCTCAGGTCCTGCTCACTCTCTCTGTAGGCGCTTCTCCTTGCTCGGGTCAGGCCCTCCCCACTTCGTGCTGGTCATTTTATGTAACATTTAGGTCATAGATTTATACAGACTGTTCAGCAGAGCCTAACCAGTCTGTGCCGGTGCTTATACGCCACATGAGTTTCCTTGAACTCCTTACTCTCTCCCATATCCTTCTATTCCCAGGAATTGACAGGAATTCAATAACCAGGAGCTGTGATTTCATATTTCTTCATGAAATAGAGGCTTAAAAATAATTATAAAAGACTAATTTAAAAGTTAAAAGCAAAGATCAAGCTGAATTGCTTGAGTGAGCCCCTCACGAAGCAAAGCCTGACCATTGTTTGGAATTTGAACAGTCTGTGGGAGAAATCATTGTCCGGTAGTCAATTCCACGGCTGTCATTAAGGACACGTTGCAATGGCATGTTTTATCTACAATTTCTGTAGCGTTCCTTATTGTCCCAGATGCCACAGTGAATTTTTTATATTGTTTTCAAACCTCCAGAGGAGATCTACAAGGGGGAAAACAAAATGGGGAATGGATGGAATTTTAGGAGACCTATATTATGTAAAGAGATGTGATGTGTGTGTCTGTATGTACTGACCACGCTCTGATGTTGGGTTCCAGATGTAGGATGTGCTGAGCCGCTAAATCAAGGACCCTGCAGGAATTATGTAATTAAATGGTACTACGACAGGATGGCCGAGGCCTGTGTCCAGTTCTGGTACGGTGGCTGTGAGGGAAACAGAAACCGCTTTGATAACCAACAAGAATGCACTCTGAAATGCTTTCTGTGAATAGGTGAGCTACAGTTAGAATGACATCAAATGTTTCCTCTTTCATGTACTGACAATGTCTGGGGATAGACAGCAGCAAGGCTCTCCCAATTGGTTCACATACAAATAGATTTTCAGCACAGAAAACATTCCCTTACCCTGCACGCATCATAACCTTTGATATCACTAATCGTCACGTGTTAATATAATTCCCTTTCAAAGGTTCAGCTTCTATAGCTACTTACGGTAAAACAATACATGGGGTAAGCTTTTCAGCACTCTCAACTCTAGGTCTGAAGGTTGTGAGTTCAGGGACCAGATTGGGGTTTGCACTCATAGACCAAATAGTGTGACATTCCAGTGGAATGCTGGGATGGACTGCTGTATTTTTAGGTGTTCCTTTTTGGATGAGACATTTAACAAATATCCTGCCTGCCCTGATGTTGCATTAAATTATCCTGTGGCACAATTCGAGTAGAGAACGGAGTTTCTCCTGTGGTCCTGGCCCCATAAATCCTTGAGACTCATTGATCATTCAACATAGAGCTCATTATAGGATCTTACTAGCACAAATGGCTGCCGTGTTTGCCCACAAAGATAGTCACTGCTCTTGACAAGTCATTACTTGTGAAGTACTTTTTGAATGTGTTGAAGTTCTATAAAATGCAAACCTATCATTATAATTATGATGGTATTTAAAATTCCGGTATTGCTAAACTCAGTCCATTCCTTTACAACAACAAGATTTCATTTATAGTCCGCCTTTCACGTCGGGAGGACGTCCCAAAGCGCTGGACAGTTGGGTCAGGCCCCGAGCAGGGGGGAAATGGTCAGGGTGAGGGGAGGGAAGGGAGGGAGCGAGGAGGGGGAAGAGAGTCGAGAGGGGAGGTGAAGGCTCGGTCAAAGAGAAAGGTCTTGAGACCGGTCTTTAAGGAGAAAAGGGAGGAGGCAGCGAAGGCACCGGGGGATAGAGTTCCAGAGCCTAGGGGCTGAGAGGCTGAAGGCCCGGCCACCGATGGTAGGGCGGTTGGGGCGGGGGATGTGGAGCAGACCGGAGCCAGAGGAACGGAGGGTACGGGCGGGTAGGTAGGGGGATAGTAGGTCGGAGAGGTAGGAGGGAGCAAGGCCGTGAATGGCCTTGTAGGTGAGGATGAGGATCTTGAATTCGATCCTCTGGGGGATGGGGAGCCAGTGGAGGCGAGCGAGGGTGGGAATGATGTGGTCGCGAAGCCTGGTGCGGGACAGTACACGAGCTGTAGAGTTCTGAATGACCTGCAGCTTGTGGAGGGAGGTGCTGGGAAGGCCGGCGAGGAGAGGGTTCCCATAGTGCAGCCTTGAGGTGATAAAAGCGTGGACCAGTGTTTCAGCAGCGTGAGGGGTGAGGTAGTGCCGTAGTCTGGCGATGTTTCGGAGGTGATGGAAGGCGATGCCAGTTGTGGCGCGGATATGAGGAAGAAAGGACAGCTCAGGGTCGAACAGAACACCGAGGTTCCTGACTGGCTTTGAGAGGTGGAGAGTGCAGCCTTGGATGCTGATGGTGTCAGCGCCTGAGGTGCGGAGGCGCTGACGTGAGCCAATCAGGAGGGCCTCAGTTTTGCGCACGTTGAGCTGAAGAAAGTTGTCTCTCGTCCAGGACTCGATGTCGGACAGGCAGCTGTCAGGACATCGGTGGTCATGGAGTTGAGGGTAGAGGAGGAAAGGTAGAGTTGGGTGTCATCCGCATACATGTGGAAGTTAACCCCATGTCTGCGGATGATGTCATCAAGGGGGAGCATATAGAGGGTGAAGTGGAGGGGACCGAGGACAGAGCCCTGAGGGACACCGCAAGAGACAGTGCGGGGGCTTGAGGAGAAGCCGTTTGTGGAAACAAAATGAAGACGGTGGGAGAGGTAGGACCTAAACCACTTAAGGACTGGGCCTTGAAGGTTGAGGTAGGAGGACAAGCAATGGAGGAGGATAGCGTGGTCGACCGTATCGAATGCTGCCGATAGGTCGAGGAGGCAGAGGGAGCCCTGGTCGCAGATGGTCAGGATGTCATTGGTGACCTTGACCAGGGCGGTTTCTGTGCTATGGGCAGCACGGAAACCCAACTGAAGGTGTTCGAATAATGCATGGGTGGAGAGGAAAGAGCGCAGCTGGGAGGCGACAACTCTTTCAAGGACCTTGGACAGGAAGGGGAGGTTGGAGATGGGCTGGTAGCTTGATAGCTGTGACACATCAAGGGAGGGTTTTTTCAAAGTGGGAGTGATGGTGGCAGTTTTTAGGGGAATGGGAACATTTACTTGAAGAACACAATTAAAATGTGTTTTTGAATTACCTATCCCCACTCTGAATACTTCTAGTCACCCAAATCTAACTGAAATTGTTCAAACCCGCCTTTTTGGATTCACAAGATTTGTTGGATGAGGAAGGCCCTTCAGACCATCTGATGTCACCTTTGCAGAACACCCACCCTAGCGTCCTCCCATCTCAGTACCAAAGCTGCTTTTTAAATGAATCTCGTCTCCTGGCCTCAGTGATCCTTCTGGGCAACCTGTTCCAGTCGTTAATTACTCTCTGAGTAAAGAAACACTTCCTGGTGTCTGTTCACATCTAATGAGGCTGCTGTTTTCAAAGCAGGAATGTGCAGGTGTCTCTTTAGGTAAATTGCATTGAAATGTCGCAATCCCAAATCCCAAATTTTTAACCGATGTTAAAACCATTGATATGGCCAGTGCCACCTTTATATTACCCTGCCCAAGCCACTGCTTTGTTTTAGGCCTCACTGTAAGGATTACTGCCTAAGCCCTTCAATGCTATTTTATACAAGAAGAATTGCTGGCGTGAATCGATCATGAAACAATCATTCCTGTAAATTCTTGTATTTTATAATGATCCTTAACAATCCTTGCATTTGATATAGCCCCTTATCATGTTCGTCGGGACACCTCAAAACACTTATGGGATTCACTGTATAGGGCAGTGACTGTGTATTTTGTGGGAGAATTATTATACTCAAATGATATTTATTTTCCTGTTTGGTTGCATTGCAGAAATGAACAGGAGCACATAAACCAATTGAATAATGTGTACATGGGTATCTCTGTCGCCTGGAGGAAAGTCAGTATTATGCAGTATTGAGAGACGTTCCCCGACTATGGTTTAGAGTTTGACATCTTTGCACTCCACAAACTCGAAAAGAATGGTGCTCTCAGGAAATATTAACAATCCAAAGGAAATTTTTTAAAATGAGTGAAGATCGAACAAACCACAGTGAGTGGTGATCATTTAGGTCAGCCTGTCTGACCTGCGTTTACCATCACTGAATTTGTCAAACTGATGACTTTCTCAACAGTATGCGATGACAGTCATGCAATAAGCTGTAGCCATATTTTATCCCTTCTCTCTTGAGCAAAGAACAGCCACAAATCTCTCACTTTTTCAGGCTTGAAACAATTATCCGAAAACGATAATTTGGAAAACAGATTTCAATAATAATAATCCTTGCATTTGATATTGACAGGGATTATTATCATTAAAATTTCAGTCTTAAGTTGAGGTAAATTAAGAATGAATGTAAAACAAATTTTCCACTATTGTAAATTTTATAATGAAAGTCTTAAACTGAAGAACATGACAAATTTAAATTCACCAGGAGTGTCTTGAACAGTCAATGTAAACCCCTCTAGTATTAGGTAAACTGTGAACCTACACATTTCACGGAGGATTATCACAGCTTTAGAGTCCCTGCACCTTGTTCCCTTCCTCCCCCACATTAAACCCCACCTTTAGACCTTTCTTTTCAACTGTCCCTACTCACCCCCCCCCCACCCCCCCAACCTTCCTTAGCTCCATCCACCCTGAACTCGGGCTTCCAGTCACAGCTCCCAGTGAAGTGCTTGAAGACCGCCAACTGACATGAAAGGAGCTATCTCAATGTATAATTGTTGCCTGAAGTAGTCAAAATTAATCAACAACAATGCGTCTCAATACCACATTACACCTCTTAGGGTCTAACAGCTGAGAAATTCATGTTAGAAAATGATGTTTCAATTTCAATGCCAACACTGCAATAACAGAATCTAAAAAGCTGTAATATCAAAACATATCGTACAAACCAATAGATCTGTTTGCCAGGAGAGATCTCAGAAAGCCAAATTCTGCACTCACTGTTGTTTCCGTCGAATCCATGGTTTAAGCACTGAATGAAAACCCAAGAATTAATGGTGCTACTTACTTTCAGAAATTCAATCTGTTTAAAATTGTTACTATAAATTGCAGGCTATTTTTATATCAGGTTGTTTCCTTCTAAAATCCTGAATGATCGTGAAAGAATCATCCAAATTCTTCAGAATCAAGCATTAGTGTTTGTAGTCAATTGCTAATGACTTTTAAAGTCTGTATGGTTTTGCAGTTCAGAAATATGTGCTTTGTCATCATTTAACATTTATTTTAGTGAGAGACTCCACAATTTTGTAGAATATTGCATGCCAATATTAGACTTAATTCACAGGAATATCCTAGCACTTAAAATTTTAACACTGTTCCAATGTCCATAAATATTGCATGCTACAATTATTATAGTTTAATGCTTCACTGCCATTGAAATTATTTATCCAAGAAATTTAGTTTGTAACAAGCTTTTTTACTGGCAATAGATTCCTTGCTGGCAATCCAAATGCAATGTTATTTCATACTCCCTCCTGGGTCAATAAAGCTTTCTAAATAAATTGTCAGTCTTGCTTCAGTTGCTTGTTTTTAACCAACTCCCTAAAGTTAAGAGCAGTTTTAATGAGTTGTTACTGCCACAAGGGGGAGTTTTCCAGCTGCCTGAACACAGGCAGTCAGGAAAGCCCATTCTGTAATTCACTTCAGTGACATTTTGAAAGCTCAGTCTGTAAATTCAGTCTGCAGCAAATACCTGCTCAACGTTAACTTCCTCAATGTAGTTTTCACATGGTTACCTTACTATTTGAAACTAATTTAAAATATCGTATTAGTAACAGTGATTTAATCCTACCACCGTAAATCTAATTTGGTTTC